ATCTTTAAATGAAAACGAATACGAAGAGAGGAAAACAACATAGCTCTTTGAATCTGTTTGGCTTTTTAAAATTTGTTTTTGTTTTGTTTTTTTTTTTGTTGTTTTTTTTTGTGTGTGTGTTATAATGCAACATTTATAACAAACCCACACAAAAGAAGAACAACTAGACAGAAACAGATACAAGTACAAACAATGAATGCCGTGTTTTCCGTGACGTTTATGGTGCAGGATCGGTTAAAACGTGATGTGGGCCAGCAGCCGCGCCATGACGATAACGCAGGGACGTCTCCCATTCCCAATTATTTTAAGGCCGGTGTTCAACTTTGAAGGGAGACAATCAGAAGCCGTCTCGGTGGCCCGCCCACTACAAACAACCCTCTTATAGATTTTGTTATTTTCGTGTCAGAAGTAGGTCGAGGTCATATTTTAAAGTCATTTCTTATGTAAACGTTGTTCAGCGAAACCAGGAAATAGCGTAATTGGTTGTTTTTTGTTTTTGTTTTTGTCCAGGGGTGAAACTTGTATTATAATCCTGACATTTTCTGATCATATTATGTGTCCGGGTACGCAACTTTGCTTAAATATGACATTAACGTACTATTTCAGTAACATCCCTTGAAATCGCCGAAATGTCTTTGAACTATGAAATAGAACCCCATTTCCGTGTGGGTACATTAATCGTTCCGACAAAATTTTAATGGTTGCCTAGATTTATTGTGGGCTCAAAGATGTTCAAAACAGATATGTATATGAAATGTGTGGCTTTCTATATTGGCAGTAAAACTATCTGCTACACTATCATATCCGTGACATATATTTCCCAAAATAGATTTAAAAAATGAATGATTTGCCTTACGTAAAATTTTTTGAACGAGATATAGCCCGCCAAACATTGGCGACGGCAATGCGTGAACTTCCCATCTAGTAAAGTTACTTGACAAAACATGACTTCAAGTAACGCACATTTAAAAGAATCCCAATATTTGCTACACCCCTTCCACCATGATACGTCACTGCACCCTTTTTATTTGACGCCCATTAACTATATTAATATTCTCATGTTCCAACCACTTTTAAACCGAATATTTTTTTACACAATATTTAAATTGAGACGATTTCATTTCCGAAAAAGAAACTATTACGCACCAAACGCAATTGCGTTACTAATATATATATATATATATATATATATAAATTTAGCGTAGTTATCGGGAATTATATTTTGCGCGCTAGTGAACTCATTATTGAACCACGCTCTGGAGTATCTATAAATAGCCTGCGTCTTAATTGACTCGTCTTGTTTGACCTTTGCTGGCGAATGATATATATAGATGATCTATCAAATTTTAAAGCATTTGCTTCTTATGATGTGGTGTTTGTTTTTCGCATTAATAATTATTTCTTTTTTATTAATAAGCAACATATCTACACAGTGCAACATTCAGACAGTAAAAGCACACCTTACGCTCATAATATTCAGAGAGTAAAGCACCTTTTACGCTTACAATATTCAGAGCGTAAAAGAACCTCTTACGCTCACAATCTTCGGAGAGTAAAAGCACCTCTCATGCTCATCGAATGCTCACAGCAAGTAACAGCAGAGTTGCCTCCAACACCATTAGAACGCACAAGACGCGTGGGTCGTACAGGCAGACCAGCTTTCCATGCACAGATAGAGCCCCGAGCCGCCTCCCTACTCACCATTCATAATAGAATTAATTTTTAAAAACTCGTTATGATACCTCCTCTGAAAGAGGAGAAGTATTTACATTTTTTCGAATGTAAAGAAAAATTGCGCTATATAAATAAGTTGATTCCGGCAGGTTATTTTATTTGCCTGAAATCAGAGAAAAAGCATGTACGCTTTCATATACTGCTGGTTTGTTTTTTTGTTTTTTTTAAAATCTGGTTTGTTTGTTTATTTTGTTTGTTTGTTTGTTTTTACATTCGTCAACAGTTTACATTGTAATAGCGAATGTCTTGCAACGGCGTCCTGAGAGACATTTGCGTATTTTAAAACAAATTACCGCAACCCTTTCCGTTATTACAGCTCACGCCCACCTCTTGTGTTTACAGGGGCACGAACTCTCTACGAGTATCCTCAACCTTAAAGAGCCTTTATCATAAACTATTATTGCCGTAAAAAGATTTTAGTGGTGTGAAAGTTTCGTAACTCAAAGTCTCCTGTTAAAACTTTGAATACATTTGTATTGATTGTGTGACTTTTCATTACATACAATGTTAGCACGGTTGAGACGCGCTCTATCCTTCTTAAAAGGAAAAAAAAAATTTAGTCCCAATGAAACTTATAAAATTTCATGATTAATTTTGTCCTTTACGTGTCTTATATAGCTCAGACCACTCTTTGATAGCTCAGACCACTCTTATATAGCTCAGACCACTCTTTGATAGCTGAGACCACTCTTTGATAGCTCAGACCACTCTTTGATAGCTCAGACCACTCTTTGATAGCTCAGACCACTCTTTGATGTTGGTTGAGCTTCCTCGCCATGTAAACTGTAGAGAGGTTTTGGGGGAAGGAAGGCGGCGGTGGGTTATTTGGAAAATACCGGTTTATTGGTTTTCTTTTATCAGCATATTGGGGCTAGTTATATTGGCCACTTTATTTTACTCTAGGCAGACAAGACATTTTATTTAATAGGTCTAAAAGAGTGGAGCGTTCAATCTTCTTTGGGAGGTCACAGAGTTGGTTGTTGTTTTTTGTTGTTTTTTTTTAATATGGCCGCCTGAGGGTTAAAACAAGACGTTATTTTCACATAGCTGTGAGCTAACTAAAGCAAGGCGCTGTATGCCTAGTGGATGAGAGCTTACTAAATGAAAAACCTTTTCCTCCTAGTAGTTGTCAGCTAACTAAAGCAAGACTTTGCACTTCTAGTAGATGTAAGCTCACCAAATCAAGACCTTGTACTCTTAGTAGATGTGAGCTAACTAAAGCAAGTCCTTGTACCCCTAGTAGAAGTAGAGCTATGTGAACGCTGATCTTTGACTTGTGCACTAAAGGCGATACAGGCAGACAACTTTATCTGTAGTCCATAGAGGGGTGCTCCATCCAATATTTTGACAAGAGAAGATTACATCAGTGCGTTGGTGGCTCTGATATTCATCTCGAAATAAAGAGGTGAAGTATTGCTGTTTTTAGCTATACAGGGTTCGTGAAGTGTTTAGATAATCCACTTTTATTGTGAAGTGTTCAAATAATCCACTTTTATTGTGAAGTGTTCAGGTAATCCACTTTTATTGTGAAGTGTTCAGTTATCCACTTTTATTGTGAAGTGCTTAGATAATCAACTTTTATTGTGAAGCGTTCAGATAATCCACGTTTATCGTGACGAGCTCAGATGATCCACTTACAGGCCTGTTTACTCCCAGGTTAGGGTCAGCGTAGTTTTCATCCCTCAGAATTGAAGTTTCAAGCTCCAAAGAGTAGCTTTGTCAATTACCCGGACGGGAGGATTGGGGGGGGGGGATGGGGGTCGAGAGGACGGTTCAATCAAAATAACACTTGTCAAGAAATTCACTCAGCTACTTAACTACTTATATAAGTTAAGATAAAGAAATGTACAAGTTGTGGTTCTCCGATATGTTGAAGGATGCCGTTCTTCTTCAATTGTTTACGGTGTTAACACAAAAAGTGCATTAACTTTTATTGAAAACAATATAATAATTTTTAATTGAAAATAAAGTAGGAAATGAAAAAACTCAACAAAAAAATACGTAGTTTTTAATGCTCGTCGTAGTGCTGTAGCCTTAGGCTGAAAATACGTAGTGACTACAGCGAAAGCATAGGCGTAAACAGCTCTGCACTTTTAATTTGAAGTGTTTACTTGTACTATTAAAATATGAAATTTTAAAATCAATTTAATGATGTCACGTAATTTTGCAGTTTTTTTATTCTGTCCAAGGGATGATGGCTGATTTTACATGGCATGGGCACCAACAGAATCTTTTGCAGAGTTGGTCGTGTTCCCAGTAAGTGGAGCCCAGGCCTTCAGTCACAGCCAGGAAACTAAGTTGATAATAATTTATTTCAACAAAACCTAGAGGACCCTTATAATTACATAGTCTTAACATGCCCAAACATACTAATTGATTATTAAGTTAGCTTCAGTTGTGTCGATTTAGTAGGTGCACAGAAAATACTTAACAATTTTAGTTAAAACAAACTTTAAATATCGTGTAGTAGAGTTAAAACAACAAATAGTTCCGAAATCATGCTCAAAAATATAAACAATATGTGTTTAAAATAACGAAAGGAATTTTCCATATATTTTTTTTTCAATGTCTAATTGTCTAAATTGGCAGTCTAAGGATTCAACAGTAGCTTGTTGAATTTTTTTTTTTTTTTTTTTTAATGAACTTTGGATCATTAAGCTGTAATTGCAATGTATTTAAAATAACGAAAGGAATTTTCCATATATTTTTTTTTCAATGTCTAATTGTCTAAATTGGCAGTCTAAGGATTCAACAGTAGCTTGTTGAATTTTTTTTTTTTTTTTTTTAATGAACTTTGGATCATTAAGCTGTAATTGCAATGTGGAAATGAAGAAATGGATGGAAGTTTGACAACTGTTCTTGAACTAAAGCAGATCTGATTTTTATTTTATTACTTCCCTTGTTTGCCGCTGCACAACAAAATGTGGGCGATTCTCCTAGTTTTGAAGTTTATGCAATTCGACCTATTTTATTGCATCTATTCTCATAAATTTTCTGAAAAAAAATATTATTTTCTACTAATTTTGCAATCTAACTTATTAACTAACACACCAAAAGATCATTTTTTTATAACAAGCAATGATTATTTTTCTTCTTGACATTGTTCCACTTCACAGCGCCGATTGCATTTTTTCAAATATATCTTCATTAAAAATGTCACTTCCTGCAAGAATGTAGTCGCACTTGTGTAACATAAGGTTTAACTCAATTTTAGTTTTAGTTTTCTTGAACAGAATCTTTGAAAGCACTTCTTCTCATGAATGAACTGTAAGGTCTAACTTTACTTAGCTTTAAAAAGCTATCCGTTTTGATCAGGCACACAAAATTCCATTGACTGGGAGAGGCTTTATTTTCCATTTGTGTTTACTTTTTTTTAGGTAAAGCAGTTGAAATAGTTCCTGATTATTGCTCACCAATTGTATTTCGGAGAAACATTAATTTGTTAAATGCAGCTGCATTTAATATATAATCGGACTTGAGTAAATTGAGTCAAGTTATTAATTTGAGCAGTTTTGTTTGACATTTATCTCCGGCTACGTTATTTTGTTGGGTTTTTTGTTTTTTAAATATGTCGCAAGTTGTCAAAGAAAGGCCTGCCCAATCCCGATGTGATGACTTCAAAATGATGGGTGTTAGAAAAGGCCGGTCATTCCTGAAGCCGTTGATACGACCTGTCGAGAGATGCCAGACTCGGCAGCTGATCAATGGAATGGTAGTACAATTATTGCATCCTTCATTGTTTACGTTTCTTCGCCGCTATTTTAATTTTTATCAATTGTACTATCAATATGACGAAGACACATTTATTGTAAGGTTGCAGCGATTCTTTGTCATTATAACACGTTTTTTTTTTTTTAAATGTGAGCACATTTATGAGAGCTAATGACAAAACTGATATAATGATATTCAGACACCCCCCCCCCTCATATGACGTCTAACGTTTTGTACTCATAAAGTGAAAAACTATGCTTCATAAACTCTTTCAATTGTACTGAGATGTTTTACGACATTAAAACTTATCTCGGCACGGATCGAATATGGGAAGGAAAACTTTTTTTTTTTTTTTTGTGTTGCTTTCTAGACCTTACTGTAAGTTCTGAATGTATTTATCTGGATAGGATTTGCCTGTTTGAATAATATAAGCAACAGCAATTTTTTAAAATAAAATGGCATAATGATTGATTTTGCTTTATGTTGATGACCAGATGGAGGTTCGACCCGACGGTCAAATGGCAAAGCACCTAACACACTTGAAGTTCGATACAACGGTGATAGGAAATGGGCTTCTCAGCGTTGCGGGGGAAGATCGGGAACCAGAAACAAAATTTGGAATTCAAAAGACCCCAAAAGTATACGCCACTGATTTCATGTGTCCGCTGTTGTAGCGCTTGATTGCGTTCATCCGCTGTTGTGGCAGCTGATGTCACGTCGCCGCTGTTGTGGCAGTTGATGTCACGTCTCCGCCGTTGTGGCAGTTGATGTCATGTCGTCGCTGTTGTGGCAGCTGATGTCACGTCTCCACTGTTGTGGCAGTTGATGTCACGTCTCTGCTGTTGTGGCGGCTGATGTCATCTCTCCGCAGATGTGACAGCTGATGTCATAAACAATATAAATGCAATTAAATATTTAAAACCACATGAAGAGGAAGCAACAAACTTTTGTTTTAAGGCAAGGGAAGTAACAGTAAACGTAACTAAATATTGGTAAACATTACGATTTCTGTGATCTTTATTGTGTTATTGATAGTTGTGATCTTTATTTTTTTATTGATAGTTGTGATCTTTATTGTGTTATTGGTAGATATGATCTTTATTGTGTTATTGATATGTGTGATATTTATTGTGCTATTGATGGTTGTGATCTTTATTGTGTTATTGATGTGTGTGATCTTTATTGTGTTATTGATAGCTGTGATCTTTATTTTGTTATTGATATTTGTGATCTTTATTGTGTAATTGATAGTTGTGATCTTTATTGTGTTATTGATATGTGTGATCTTTATTGTGCTATTGATAGTTGTGATCTTTATTGTGTTATTGATATGTGTGATCTTTATTGTGCTATTGATAGTTGTGATCTTTATTGTGTTATTGATATGTGTGATCTTTATTGTGTTATTGATATGTGTGATCTTTATTGTGTTATTGATATGTGTGATCTTTATTGTGTTATTGATATGTGTGATCTTTATTGTGTTATTGATATGTGTTATCTTTATTTTGTTATTGATATGTGCGACCTTTATTGTGTTATTGATATGTGTGATCTTTATTGTGTTATTGATATGTGTGATCTTTATTTTGTTATTGATATGTGTGATCTTTATTGTGTTATTGATATGTGTGATCTTTATTGTGTTATTGATATGTGTGATCTTTATTGTGTTATTGATATGTGTGATCTTTATTGTGTTATTGATATGTGTGATCTTTATTTTGTTATTGATATGTGTATCTTTATTTTGTTATTGATATGTGTGATCTTTATTTTGTTATTGATATGTGTGATCTTTATTTTGTTATTGATATGTGTGATCTTTATTTTGTTATTGATATGTGTGATCTTTATTTTGTTATTGATATGTGTGATCTTTATTTTCTTATTGATATGTGTGATCTTTATTTTGTTATTGATATGTGTGATCTTTATTTTGTTATTGATATGTGTGATCTTTATTTTGTTATTGATATGTGTATCTTTATTTTGTTATTGATATGTGTATCTTTATTTTGTTATTGATATGTGTGATCTTTATTGTGTTATTGATGTGATTATTTATTTATTTATTTCTGTTCTCTTTAACCAAAGCACTCGTAATATTTTTTTAAAAGTTACTTCATCTTGATGATGCATCCAACTAATAGGAAAAAGAGTAGTTCAATAAATGGATTTCTTGAAGTATACATAACATGACTTGAGGGTACAGTTCATGTATAATGACGTTGATGAATTGCTGGAAAACTTTCCCAGTGAATGGTTATGGATTGCAAATTAAGAGAGACATTAAGTTGCAGAAACACTTTATTGTTATCATTTCTTTATAATATTAAACATATGCATTTAAGGTATTTATTATTCTCCACGCCCGTTTGCAAGTCACGGTTGAATTGATGCTCTTGTTTATCAAAACATAAAATACACTAGTTATAATATTAGGTAATAAAAAAATAATACGGAAACAATTTGAACAATTTTGATAAAATTGATTTTAAATGTTATGAGAAAGAAAAATAGGGATGAATAACCTGCTATAGGGAGTGCATTAAATGAAGAGAAACTACTGAAGTATTTCATTAACACAACATAAATTACACACGAATCGCATTGTGCAAAGTTTTACACACTCAGAAAATGAAAAGTAAAAAAAAAAAATGTTTTGAAAATGCAAAAATGCAAAAGCTAACGTTTTAGAGTTGAGTCTAAGATTGTCTTGTTTGATCAAAAGCAGAAGTGTTCACTTGGTGGGTCGAGAACGATTGATAGCTGCATCACAAGAATTGATATGAAAAGATTTTTTTTTCATTGATTAAAACTATATTTTATGTATTTTACGTAAATAATACAAATAAACTCGAAGCCAATAGTCTCCTTAGCCAAACGGATTATATGTAATATGTGAATATGTTATGCTTGAAGAATCTGTTTCGATAACATTTTCAAAAATAATGAGGAAAAACAAGGCAGTGTCCTAGCCTCGGTATACTCAGCTTCACTTTCGTTTTGTTTAACAATAACCACGGCTTTCCTTCAACACACAGGACAGACAAAGGGCTGCTCAATCTGATTGCAAGCCATTACGTACCACAAAGAAACGTTTGTTAGAGACGCTTTTTATTTATTTATTTATTTTTTTACTGATGTCCAAAATATAAGGTCAGAACTAAACGTGCAGGATACTCTTGGTCGCTTTGCTAAGGCCTGCGACAACCTCGGCCTTGCCATTAATACACAACTTACAGCCAACACATGAGGTAATCTTAGAAAAAAAAACTAACATTTCAGTGAAGGGACATAATATCCAAGAAGTCAACAAAAAAAAATTCACATAATTGGTGAGTGACAAAAGATGATGAGATCAACAAAGCGATGTTCAAAAACAAATGTTCGTAGAAGTTTCTGAGACCGAAGGAGTCTCAGTGTTATGACTAAGCTGAAGTTACTTAGGATAAATGTTTTTATAACTCTTGAATACACCACGCTTTTTGAGTCATATGACTGTAACTTATAACAACTCTGAAGTGTTAGGTGACTTTCAATGTCTACCTACTTGTACATTTCGGCAAGAGCGTGTTATTTATTTATTTTTTTTTCATTTTTTTTTTTTTTAAATTTTGTACAAAATAGACTTGTAAGCCGTAATAATAAAATCATGTAGTGGGTTGAAACATGGGCTGAAAAAAAATCGTGTGGCGCACATGACATACACACGCGCGAAAGGTTAGCGGTGACCTTTCTGTTGTCAAAATTGTGCTGTCGTTTGATAGTTATCTGGAATGAGTAACCATTCAATAGGAAACGNGCCACCGGTGACCTAATGATTATGGAGAAGTGTACTGTCATCGGGGTGGGTGAGTGAACAAAGTTTCAGCTCAGTAGCAGATCATGGAAGTGGGTCCACCACAAACAGGGAAACCTAATATTACAAATAAAAAAAATGCCTTTACCGCACATGTTCATTGTTCTGTTCTCATCTTGCAGGTGTGACTGATCATCCTTTAAGCTTGCACAACTTATGGCCCGCGGGCTGCATTCGGTCCGCAAGCACCCACTTTGCGGCCCGCGAAATAACGAAATATTCCTTTTTATGATTATATTCTTAATAACTTTCCACCGTCCTTTTTTTCGGCCCGCACAAGTTTTTCATAACGTATTACGGCCCACCTTACATTTTGAGTTGTGCAGGTCTTCTTTAGGAAATTTACACTTAGTTTTATTTCCGCCTACGTCATACCTCGTCCTATTCTTAACAACATAATCTGTTGACTTTCTTTTATATGAATAAATTGAGTTTCTTTTTATCTTTATGATAATAAATAGAGATAGTTAACATGAAGCTTTTTAAAAATAGGTTTAAGGCAGAATTTAAGGCAAGCAAAATTGAAAAATATATATATATACTTAACATCTTTTCGGTTACTGTTTTGAAATCCACTTCCACTATATATTATATATTTTTATATGTAGGCATTTCGAAAATCTAATAATTAAAAAAAATAACGTGTGTCTCATTGAATGAAAACCCCAAAACTATTTCTAGAGGCAGGGATGTCTTCTCAAACAAGACACCATAAAGCCACACACGTGATGTTTCCTAACGACCATGGCGATATTTGTTGAGCGTACATTCAAAGACCAATCAAACCAAGTCTTTCTTGTAAAGGGGTTGACATTGGTAACAGAAAAGTGTATGAAGATAATTTTTGACCAAGTAACACCTTGAATCTTGTCAAACGAACCTAATCTCGTTGATGAATCACTTGGCTCGGTCAGATCAAGCAATTTGTGATTTAATGAAATTGCATCAGCTGGTGTGAGGGATGATTATTAGACTGATTTGCATCAAAAAAGTTTTTTTTTTACCCGGATGTCAGGTCTCTATTTGGGTTATCCAGTGAAAACACGGCACTCGCGAGGCCACAACCAGAGCATTGAGTCAGCTTGCTGGTGACATTGAGAGACTCGCCCGACATCAGGGAGCAAGTATCAGTCGATGGTGCGGTGTCTAGCGATGCACAATACGCGCTGTCCGTCGATGTGATGCCCTCGCTTTTCTCACTGGACTGACTCGGCATGCAGCTTCTCGTTCTCTGAGTTGGCATGTCTCGTATGTCGGAAGTGAGAAGTAGCTTCCCTTTGTCTTTTTGCAGGTCAGCGAGAAAGCTTTTGTTAGATTTCCCATAAAGTTCTGTCCCGGGGGCCCTGCTCTCGTTAAATTTAAGGAAGATTGGCTCATCTGACGGGTGTGAGGTCCATTGTATTGGTGGTTCAGCTGGGTAGACGCAGTCCAAACCAAACATATCTCCTCTTCGTCCAGCGGCTGCCTGTTTTGGTCTCTTTGAGATATCCGGTTTTTTCGTGATATTGCAACACCGTTTTCCCGATTGCCATGAACTTGTGCGAGTGTTTCCAAGTGCCTCAGATTGAAGTGAACTCTCCGCGGTGTTGGAGATATCAGGAGACGACCGAGTGCTCTCCGCGGGCCAAGTAAGTCCGTGGTGACCGTTCTCTTTGATGGAAGTTTCTATCTGCGATAAGGGAGTCTTGTGTAGAAGCTCTTCTGAGAGCCCAGGCACTGGTCCGTTTGTCCCAAGGACATAGGGACCTTTAGACACAGGATAGTGTGCGCAGACTTGAGCAAAGTTTTCATTGAAGCTGGACGATGTTTCAAATCGTGAGTACCTCTTGCTTGCACGCATCGGGTTCTCGGCTGTGGCCTGGCTGCTGTACGTGTCTGCTGATATGTTGCCGGTGGGCATGTGGTCAGAGCCCACGTCAGATGATTTCGTCACGGTGCTGAACTCTTGCTCTCTGTTAAATTAAATGTTTCAAAGTTGAGGACGTATAAGAAGACATAAAAATATATTGAGGGAGAATTAAAATACAGAGTTTCACGAATTTTTTGTATCTATTTATTTTCATCAAAATACATTTAAATTTATCGGAAAAAATGACTCAGTAGGCTATTCTTACAATATCTTAGTAATATAGATGAAAGAATACTGGAAAGGGCTGATTTTTAATAGTTTAGGTATTAACCCCTGTTATCTAACAATGTTAAAAGAAATGCTCATTTTTTATATTGTATGGATACTAAACCTTAAAAATGGTAATAATCAGTAACTATAACGTATTGATGTACATGCAGATTCAATTCAAGAACTACTGACCACAGATAACATCCATATACCCAGTGGCGTAGGGTTAGTGCCGCCCGGGTTGAGCCAAGATATTTGCCATGGAAAAGACCCTCTGCAGTTTTCTA